GACCTCTCATTCTTTGGTATTTCAGGTTCAGATGTCCTTACATTCAATTTCTTGACACTCAGAAAATCATTTAAGAATATACTTTTGTATTGCTTAGGTTCTGTCTAAATATATATGAAAATGAGTCAGAAATAAAGCTGTGGCCATCTGAAGATGCAGACACTGTCATTGATGTTCACCTTTTGGTGTTTGTCCTTGAAAATCATTGTCACACTGACACTTCTACATTGGTGCATTTATAGTTTAAGACATAGGGATGCTAGGTATTAACCTATATTGAGAACATATTTCAAGGACCACTGTTTTTGTGTCCATCAGAACATTACTCAATTTTTTTTTTAGAAAGCAAGAACATCATTCTATGATACTCTATAAAGCAGTGGCTATAAGCTTCCCATTCAAATTTTTACTATTTATATTTTAAAATTCAGTTGCCTCATGATGAATATACATACATACATACATACATATATATACACACACACACACACACACACACACATATATATATATATATATCAACAATGAATATGAGCAGCTAGGTGGTGCAGTGGATCAAGCACTAGGCCTAGAGTCAGGAAAACTCATCTTTCTGAGTTCAAATCTGGCTCAGACACTTAATGTCTATTTGCCTCAGTTTCCTCATATGTAAAATAAGCTGGAGAAGGAAATGACAAACCACTCTAGTATCTTTGCCAAGAAAACCCCCAGTGAGGTCACAAAGAGTCAGACATGGCTGAAACAACTCAACAACAACCAAAAACCCCAACGAATAAAATACTTAAAATTTGTTTCACTGAAGTTCACTTTTGTCAAAAAATTAATCCCAGTCATTCTGTGACTTCACATTAAAGTGCATTCATAGGTAACATTGTTCTAAATTCAACCTTCTGTGTTATTTATTAAAGAAAAATTCAACTCTGCTATTCTTTTGGCCCCCATCCCCTTGTGATCTCCAGGTGATCAGTTAAGATTTCTCTTTTCTCCCTCATCCAAATCATGGTGGCCCTAGCCATGCATAACTTATTGAGATGAGTCTGTTAGTTTTCATCCTACTGTTTATTTTTATTCCTCTTCACACATCATTGGCAGACCTAATCTGGCTGGGATCCCAATTGACTTTGCTATCTGGGTGCTGGGCACAATAACACAAAACCCAAGCAAAATTGCTGTCCGGCACTGAAGAGAGTAAAGATAGGAAAGAAGATGAGGAAAAAAATCAACAATTTGATTTACATGAAGGAATTATGAGAGGAAGGCTATAAATCGGACAAATTCAGAGATGACTTGTCCTATTCTTATCTCTGGGGGATGTCCTTCATTGATGTCACTATTTCTATAACATATATTTCTATAACTGTCTGCTAAAGGCCTTCTTTCTTCCCCTATTTCTGCCTGAAAGTCAAGCTTTTCCCATTTTTAATTGTTTTGCAGAAAGTTTGAGTTTATTTCTCCTTTCCACTATAAAGCAGTTACTTGATCGTTCAGATTGATTTCCTTTTCCAAGTGATCATTTGTTTGTATTCCTTCCATAGGCATAGTAATCACTTTCATTCATAGACCTGAAAATCCCAGGTAACAGTCCAGGAGGAGTCTGCTTTCCTCCCAAGAAGAGTCCACCAAAGTGCATTGTCTTGGGATCGCTGTCTCTGTTTCTCCTGACCCATTCTGTTACTCTTCCCGCCTCCCCCAAATGTGGCTGCAATATGATGCCCCTCCTACCTCCATCTGCTATTTCTTTCTTGACTGTCAGGGTGATTATACAGTCATGAGTAATCATGGTCTATCTCCCAGGAGTTTCAGGAAACATCAGAGATATTTTGAATCATCCCATAGGCCTTACCTTAGTTGTGATGGTGACATATTGAAAGCATCCTTGAGCCAGCAGACAGAAAAGAGATAAGAACTGGGCTCTGTGCTCTGAGAGTCTAACTACAAAGGTGTATCTGATTTTTTTTTCTGTTTTTTTTTTTCAGAATCTCCTTCAGCATTTTATTTTCTTTCCATTCTATGTGACAGATCTCAACATTTGGGGGATGGGGAATAGTGATGAAGGAGAGACATGGCTTACTGATAGCTAGATATCCCAGTGGATGGAGCTCTAGGCCTGGAGTCAAGAGATCTTAGTTTGAATCTGGCCACAGGCACTTCCTAATTGTGTGGCTCATTGCAAGTCTCTCAAATTACACCTGACTCAGTTTCCTCACCTGAAAAATGAGGAAAATAATAGCACCTACCTCCCAGGGTTGTTGGGAGGATCAAATGAGATAATGTAATCAAAGTGCCTGGCACATAATATGCACTTGATGAATGTGTGTTTCCTTCCACCTGAAACAGCAGTATGGTGCTGCGGAAAGAGAACCAGATTTAGAGAACCTAGGTGTAAATCTTGCCTCTGTCTCTCACTTCTTATGTGACTTTAGGCAAGCCACTTCCCACCTCTGGACCTCAGTTTTCTCATCTGTAAAATGAAACTGTTGTATTAAATGGCCTCTGAGGTCTGTTGGAGCTTTGCTTCTATAATTCTAAGATTCTTTACCACCTCTAGGTATCAGTTTCCTCCTCTGTTACATGAGGGAATTGAACTGAGGTCTGTTGGAGCTTTGCAGCTATAATTCTAAAATTCTTTACCACCTCTAGGTATCATTTTCCTCCTCTGTTACATGAGGGTATTGAACAATATGGCTTCTGAGCTGTCTTCCAGCTCTAAATCTATAATCCTATAACCTCACTCTTAGTAGATTGCTGCTGTCATGGATTGTGTTGACTTCAAAATATAGTGCCAGGTCACTGAAACAAGTCCAGAGTCATCTTATATACCATTGGGCTCCAGGGAGGGTCCAACGGAGTGCTCATAGCCCCAACCCCAAGAATTTAGGAGAACACAATGGAGATGGCAACAGGAGGAAGCTGAAACAATCTGAATATTGCAACTTCACGTCCCTGGCTTTGTAGGAACATCGTTTCTTCTCCTCCTTAGAAAAGGAAGACAGCAACTTAACCATCTCTGGTCTACCAGTAGTTACCAAGAACTTTTTGAGATTAAAGGGAGTGATTCATATACTCAAGGACAGCTCCGTAGTCTTTGGACCAAACCCTAGGATGGGAATCAGAAGACAGGTCTAATTTCTAGTTTTATCAGGACTGTCCTCAGGCAAATTACTATTAAATTCAATTTCCTTATCTGTAAAATGGGTATAGCAATTCTTTTCTACCTATCTATCACACCAAGAAATTATGAGGCTGCTGTCTGTGAAGCTATTTGAGATCTCTGAAAAGGAAAAAATAAATACAAATAGATTTTTCCTAAAGCTAAACATTCTCCCCTCCCCCCTTTGACTAGGTTGAGAGTTGAAATAAACATTTATGAGAAGCTGGTAGTGAGTTTTTGTTTTGTTTGGATTGGCGAAAAAAACGTAGACTCTTTCTCAGGGTCATGATGACAATGAACTAGCAATCATTCTTATGGAAAACTGTAAGATTAGCAATGCTAATGTTGTTTGAAATAGTGGGCTTGCCGAGCACTTTCTTTTATCATGATTCATAAGACATCACTATCAGTCTGCTGTTTAATCACTTTATGATTAATGAGGATTGAAATTTTAGATCCTATAAACTGTTTCTAGACAGCAATAACATAAGCTCTGAAGTTTTGCATCCCAAGCTTTCTCTTCCTAGTAACATGACCACTAACCAGAATAAGAAATGTGTGTTTGCGCATCATTTATTCCTATCCCTTCTCTTTCACTGTTATGCCCTTCCTGGTCATCCTGTTTGCTTTGCACTCTTACTGGTATGCTAACCAACCAGAGAATTAATTTCTCCTTAGAGATATGAGAGGTCTGACTTACTTATAAATTGCCAATCTTTAAAAAAAAAAACAAAAACCTTGCATTTTTTTTAGTGCTAGCCAGTCATTTAAAGAGACTCTGATTCAGAAAGTATTGAGGGATAACTTATTTATTTGTTTTTGTGGACAAGAGCATTTTTAGTCATCAATAAGGTGTTACTCTAACAACAAAGGATTATAAATTTGTGGTTAACATTTTTTGCCTGAAATTTGGATCTCTGTCATTGGCATTTCTGAAATACTAGAAGTTCAGAACACTATTTTGTTAAACATGCTCCTGGAGGTGGTCTGCTCTGATTCACCTGTTCACATGTAAAGGTGCAGAGAGAGAAGAAAGAAATAGAAATGTTCATGAGAAGTCCCTCTAAAGCATTATTCACTTCTTTTTCTAATAAAACAGTGCCAGAGGTATCAGAAGTAGGGAATAGCATCTCCAGAGAAAGAACTGATAGAGTCTGAATGCAGAACAAAACATACTTTTTCTTTATTTTTCTTGTTTTTTTTTGTCATGTTTCACAACATGACTAATGTGGAATATATTTTGCATGACTGCACATGCATAACCTGCTTGCCTTCTCAATGGGATAAGGGAGTAGAGGGAGGGATGGAGAGAATTTGGAAATCAAAATTTAAAAAAAAGAATATAAAAATGGTTTTTTACATGCAACTGGGGAAAAAATGAAATATGACATCATTGGGGAAAAAAAGAAATGGGGAATGGAACCTTTGGAAATAATCATTGATGTGTAGCCATGTCTATGTCTAACTATACATGCATACATTCAAACATAATAGAAAGGTACTAAAAGAAAAAACCTTTTCATCCAGCCCTTAGTACAAATGTATTAGATTTTTGCTAAGTAAATAATAGGCACCACACAACAAATGGAAAAGGAGAATTAGAGATTTCTCACTTTTCTTTTCTTCCTCTTTTTTCATTTAAATTCTATGAAGATTTGCTCCAAAGAGTTATGCTGATGAAGACCCTCCCTGTTTAATTTTGTCTGTCAGTTGCTGAATCTCAGTTGGAAATAAGTGGGTGATGGAGAAGGAGGGTGGGTGAGAAGAGTTGCATTAGGAGAAAACCAATTTTGTTTTAATTACTTACTGGCAAATAAATAATACTCTGATCTGCTCATCTTTTTTAAAGGGAGAGCCAGGTTTCATTGGTCCACAGGGAGAACCAGGGTTGCCAGGGTTACCTGGAACAAAGGTAAGTAGATTCTCATTTCCTTGGCTTCTATGCAGAAGGAGGCTGGCAAAATGATTCACAGGGGAGTGGAATAAATGAGACAATGTACCTCCCCCCTTCCTCCCTTATATAAGCTGCTAAAGAGCTCTGTAGTCTAATGGCCAGGTGGAAGGAGTGAAATTTTTATGCAGAGTTAGGCAGCCACTAACTTCAGCAGAGAATATAACTCACCCTCATCATTGCGACTCCTTTGGAGTCAGAGGCTAGAAATAATCCTTTCATAGATTCCACAAGCACCTGGTGCCTGAAGGAGACACTTTGAAGAGCAGAGAGATTCTCTAATATAAAATCTTCAATGGCTTGTCCCACCAGACAGCTCCAAAGAGTATGCTAAAAGCATTTATAAAAGCCTGTGTGCCCACCACAGGAAAAATTATTTTGCTATTTATCAAGTCAGGATGAAGCTCCTTTTTTATCTTCTCAGGAGGAAACAAAAACACCCACATGAACTTAGAAGATAGGGATCTGAAATTCTAGTTTTGCTTGTGACAGATACAAGTCCTAGATAAATTAAAAGGTGTAACGTTAGACCAAACAGCATTCTTTTATTTTTAAACAACTGCATCCTCCTCTTCCAAGTGTTGCATTCATTGAAAGTAAATGAGAGATGGTTTCAGATAGTCAGGTCTGGGTGTTCATTAACCATCCCTGTAAGAAGAGCCCTGAATGTATCAGTCTGTAGATGGAAGACCCCATCCTCTCTGGAGAAGGGCAGACCACCTCTCTTCTTATCAGTGGAAGTGATGTGTGTGACCTGTCAGAGGCAACCAATTCACATTGCTTTACATGAATGCTGGAACACAGCCAGTGTATACGAATTGGGGGTGTTCTCATGCACTTTTCATACAGTAAGGTGTCCAAGTACACGGAGCACCTATTATAACCTCGGCAGATTTTAGCAAGTAATCTCTTCACCTTTTCATTCCTCAACTGCTATTAGAATTCATGGTCCTCATCATCCTTTTCCTGGATGACAAGCAACAATTTCTATCGACCAGGTCACAGATCAAAGGAGTATAGATTTAGAGCTCTAAGGGAGTCATGTAGTTCAACCTCTTCATTTTTCAGATGAGGAAACTGAGGCCCAGGAAGGCTGAAGTGACTTTCCCAAGCGTATTATAGCAAGTGGTAGAGGAAGGAACTGAACCTGTCAGTATGAAAAAAACCTAGAGCCTGAGGAGGCCTGAAGAGGCTATGTGGGCCAACCCCCTTACTTTAGGGGAGACTACGAGATAGTGCCATGGATATGGAGTCAGAAAGTCTGAGTTCAAATCTGGCCTCAGATATTTCCTAGTTATGTGACCCTGGGCAAATCAGTTAGCTTCTGTCTGCCTCAGTTTCTCCATTTGTATAATGAGGATAATGACAGTACCTACTGCTCAGAGTGATTACGAGGATACAATGAGATAAATGTGTAAATTGCTTTGTAAACATTAAAGTGCTACATACGTGCAACCATTTTGTTGTCTTCATTATTAGTGCAGGAACTAAGGCCTAGGGAGGCCAAATATCTTGCCTAAAGTCACTTAGATTTGTAAGTAACAAAGCCAAGATTTGAATACAGGTCTCCCTGGTGCCATTCAACAGTTCAGTTCAGCAAATATTCATCAAATGCCTGCTCTGGTCAAGTTATTGTCCTTCTTTTTCTTGTTCAGTTGTTCAGTCATGTCTGACTCTTTGTGACCCTATGGGCCATAACATGCTGATACTGTCCGTATGGTTTTTTGGGCAAAAATACTGGAGTAATTTTTCATTTTTCCTTCTCCAATGGATGAAGGCAAACTGAGTTTAAGTGACTTGTCTTGGGTCACAAAGCTAGAAAGTGTCTGAGGCCAAATTTGAACTCAGGTCCTCCTGATTCTAGGCCTACCTCTCTATCCACTGAGTCACCTAGCTGTCCCAATTATTATGCTAGGAGCTTCTAATTCCTCATTCCCCCATTCTCTATAGTACACCATCAACAGATTGATCTTCCTAAAATACTGATTTTATCATATAGAGAGGATTTTATTAGAAGATCTCCAAAGTCCCTTACCACTCAAAATTCTGCGGTCCTATTAGATTCAATAAACATTATTAAGTACCTTCAGTCCAGCAAGGTGCTAGGTGCTGGGAATACAAAGATGAAACATTTTGCTTGACCATAAGAAGCCTATAATCATTGGAGTACAATATGCACACCAATGTTATAAGCCAGAATTTGTTTAAATGCAAAGAGAAGGTACAAAGTGCTATCAGAATTCTGTGAATGGAACAATATCCAGCTGACAACGAAAGCTTCACAGAAGAGGTGCCCCTGAATTGGGTCTTGAAGGAAGAAAATAGCTTTCAATAGGTAGAGATGGGCAAGGGGGGCATTGATTTCATGCATGGAAACGGAAAGAAGGATGAAGAATAATCCAGTTTATTTGGTTGGAACACAGGGTAGATGAAGGGGTATAGTATGAGATAAAGTAGGTTGGAGCCAAATATGGAGGACTTTGAATGCCAGGTTGAGAATGTGTCCTTTATCCAGCAGACAGTGGAGACTCACTAAAGGTCATGAAATACGGGAGTGATGTGATCAAGAAATGTGATAGGGGGATAGTGCTGATAATGGTGGGAATCGTAGATTACAGTGGGGTGAGATTGGAGGAGAACAGTTAGGAAGCTGTTGCAATATTATAGACGGGAAGTTTACAAGGGCCTGAACTCGATTGGTTACAAAGAGAATTGAGAGAGGTAGAATAATGGAAGAGATATTGCGGTAGTTGGGGCAGCTAGGTGGCGCAGTAGATAGAGCATCGGCCCTGGAGTCAGGAGGACCTGAGTTCAAATTTGGTCTCAGACCAGAGACTTGACACTTACTAGCTGTGTGGCCTTGGGCAAGTCACTTAACCCCAATTGCCTTGCCAAAAAAAAAAAAAAAAAAGAGAGATATTACAGTATGCAACTCTCTTATGGTCTTTTTTGTTAATTGTTGAGGGAAGCTAGTAGGGAGTCAAGAATGTGTGTTGGAAACTACTAATTAGGAAACTCCCTCTCCTAATAAAAATAGACAATCCGTTCTGCAATTTAGAGAGTAGTCTGCATCTCTGTGCAATTAGGTGACTTGTTCAAAGTCACACAGCCAATATATGTTGTAAATGGGGTCTTCCTGATTTCTAGGCTGGCTTTCTAATGTTTCTTAATAGTAATAATAGTAATAATAATAATAATAATAATAATGATAATAATAATAATAATAATGAAGTCTATGGGAGTTTAAAGTCATCAGGTTCCAATTTAGACCTGATGGTTTGCTGACACAAGTCCATAAAAACTTTTGTTCTAGGATATTTTGTTCTTTTTAGGTAGTTAGGTGGATAAAAAGTAGTACTGGAATTCAGAAAGGTCCCAGTTCAAATATTGCCTCACTTATTATCTTTATGATCCAGGGCAAATTGCTTTCCCTGTCTGTCTCAGTTTCCTGTCTATAAATGGGTATAGCATTTACCTCATGGAGTTGATATGAGGTTTAAGCTAACACATACAAAAACTTTGTAAGACATAAAGTGCTATATAAATGTTGGCTATTATTTTTAAATAGTGTATGGATTATATTGAATTTATATCGCCACATCCTTCGTCACCAAGCTTGTAGAGATTTTTTCCCCCCATCAGTAATCTGAACTGACTTCCTCGTATCCCTAGCTTAGCAGGAAATCCATTTTACTGACCAGCAGTTGAAAATAAGATGATGAGATCCAAAAATAAATAAATTCCATATCTTTCCTGTATGCCATAACTTTCCTTGGAGAAAACATTTTCTATAGATAACTATCAGAATCAAAGTTTTTTTTTTCAAGCTGGCCCATTTTCTTGGACTCTACTCTGTTTCCTCTCTATGCCCCCAAACCTGTTTTTCTTTAATGATGAATATTGGCATTTTGTCACTTGTTTATGATGTGATCTGTGACAGGGTGAACGTGGAGAGGCTGGGTCACCTGGGAAAGGTGAGCGAGGTGAACCTGGAGCTCCTGGACTCAAGGTCAGTTGTCTTTGCCCTGTGAAATGTTGTTCACAGGTCTGAAAATGGGTACCACCTGCTTTAGACCAGGAAACCAAAATAAAGCTCAACAGGTGTTGAAGGGAACTACAAACTCCCAAATAGTTTCTGAAGTGAGCGCGTACTGGGTCTTTTCCAAATGGGATTGACACTATAATTTCACTTTTCCAACTTGATCTATTCTGTTTACTCTCTTATCTTGATTAACCAAGTCCATTGGGATGGGGACAAGAAGAGGAGGGAGATAATGTAGCAATATCTTCCTCCTGGATGTGTTTAAAACTTTCTGGGGAAATATGAAGTCTCTGCTTATTTGTATTGTATGATGGCGAATAACACCTTGAAATTATTAAAGTAAAAAGATTCATTTGACTGTTTGATCTTTATTCTGCTAAACTTTCCAGGCAGCTAATGTGGTAACACTTTATTTTAATTGCCCATCCTGCTGACACAGGAAATAATTTACTCTTTGAAGAATAGGAAATTTATGCAGACAAACACTATTAAGACTAATGAGAATTATTCATGTAAATCCTCCCCTTGTTTTGATGAGAGAATAGTCCTCTAAATCATCATGGAATGGCTAGGTTGGTGGGAAGACATGGGACCCAGGAACCATTATGGTTTCCTTGTGTTTATGGTTATATACCCAGTTGGATATATACCTATCCCTAGTATTGGGGCAGCTAACTTAAAAGGTTGTTCACCATTCTGCATTATTTTGAATCACAGCTAATTCTTTTCTCTATTCTTAACTTCACTTGCCATTTTCTCTTTTCCACCATCATGCCCTCCTTATATCAGGGGAAACAAGGTGAATCAGGAGCTAGAGGTCCCAAAGGGTCAAAGGTCAGTAACAACACCTCAGTACTTTCTACCAACACTACCCTACTCTCTTCTCTCTCTCTCTCTCTCTCTCTGTCTCTCTCTGTCTCTCTCTGTCTGTCTCTCTCCAAGAGAAACTGTGTAGAGTTTGGAGAATTTAATTTTTCCAAAGAGCCTTATTTTCACACTAACTCACATGCTGCCATTACTATTAATGCCTCCTCATTCTGCCATCTTAATATAATTGGACTTTATTTCATCTCAGTCGCTTTTTTTCAGGGTAGTTCCTGCTTTTCCTTCTAGTTTGAAAGTTTGTTTCTAGGCTGTTTTCTTTAGGTGAGGTTAAATTTCCATTTTTTTAATCAAATAAAATTGAATTCATTAAACGAAGACAAAAGCTGGGTATTTTTCTCCCTGGTGGAATTGTGGAATCGTGCACATCACATGTTTTGTAAAGGCCTCTCCTGTGCCTTAAATTTCAGTAAGGGCGAGTGCCTGTTTCTTCAGTGAGTATTTTGCCAGATGAAAAGTTTCCCCTACAACACAAACAGTGCCTTTTGTAAATAAATAAATAAACAAACAAACAAATAAATAAGTAAGTAAATAAATAGATAAATAAATAAATAAATAAAAGTCCATGGAGAACCTATTCAATATTCATTGGAACTTGTCATTCATCAGGGTTGTTTACTCACAAAACTGCAATTGGGTGACAGGATGGGGAAAACAGAAGGCAAGAGGTGGTAGCTCTCCAAAACTCAGTCAATGTGATCATTGTGGTCCTTGCTATTAAGTATCATGACATTACAAAGGATTCTGAAGGCCAGCATCACTCAGTTTCAGGTGGATGAATTGACAGTATTGCAAGTGAAGTCTTTAACGGAGAAAAAATATAGACTGATTTTGCAAAAATTCCTGTAAGAGGTTTCTGACAGGCACATTGAATCTCAAAAATGTTTATAGAATGATTGCTATATTGTAGATAAATTTAAAAGGGTATGTGTATATATGTATTATACCTGTGTATATTACATATATATAACTATCATTTATATATTTAAATGATTTCTAATCCCCAGTGGGTTCATTTCTTTTACAATGTGAGATGTTCTTACTGACTAAATTGTGTGTGCCAATTGCAAGTCAAAATGTTATAAGTTTCAATTATTGATCATTCTTTTCCAAGAAAGAGGAATTTATTTTTTGCTTTGTTTTTTCTGGGCAATAGGGTGATCATGGAGACAAAGGTGACTCTGGAGTTCTGGGACCAAGGGTAAGTGTGCCTGCCATCTTGAATTGCTACCATTAGCCTATATACAAGGTAGAATTTGAAATATCTACTTGGAATGTTGTGATACACACACACACACATATACATATTTATACATATACATACATAAACATAGTGATAGCATCCATAGATACGCAAATATATACATATACACACATATATGTATGTATATATTTTGTATATATGGAGAGAGGGACAGAGAGAGAGAGAGAAAGAGACAGAGAAAGAGAGAGAGCACAAGGGGTAACACCCACTGTAACTATTGCTGTCACCACTATTGGCCCAACCAACAGGTTCATTCTCTCCTTCATGGTCCTAAAGGAAGAGGGTAAAGAGTGTGTAACTGGTAATAAACAAACCTAGCTCCAAGACAGGAGATCTTAAAATTCCCTATCTATTTTTCACTCTGTTCAGTCTCAACAACTACCCTATGATCATCTGTCTATAATGTCCATTAGGCTATTAATTCAGTAATAAAAATAGGCATCAACCCATGAACCTTGGGCTTAAATGAAATCAGGGAATTGGAAGAGTCCCAATGGGGATTAAAGCCTGTCAGCCTAAGAGCTAGCAGATAAAAGTCAGAAGAGAAGCATCCTGGTGAAACAGATGAGCACTGGACTTGGAATCAGGAAGACCTGGACAAGACAACCTCAGGCACTTACTAGTTGTGTGGACCTGGGCAAAATACTTAACCTTTCTGGGCCTCACTTTCTCCATCTGTACAATAAAGAGGTTAAGCTCCAAGATTTCTAAGGTTCCTTTCAGCTTTAAGTCTGTGAGCCTATGAAAAAGATTTCATAAACAACATTCTCTTTTCTATTCCCTATTTGTGCTTTGTACATCACAGACAAATTAAATATTTGTCAGCTTTAATTAAATAGTATTGTTTGTTTTTAAATGGAGCCTATACTTGTGGGCAACTCAAAAATTCTTTGCTGCTGAAAGATGCTTTGTTCTCTTAAAGTCAAGAGATTAGAAGCAGTCTATAAAATGAAGATAAGGAAAAAGGAATGACTTGGGTAAATAGAGATAAATCCAGTGCAAATGTTGACATCTCATTTTAATTTTTATTCTAATAATTATTAGAAACTCTTTGCAAAGTTAAATTTCTTCTATTTCACCTTTGGTGAAGTCCCTGTCTTCTGTATATACCTCAAGGAAGCTAGAAGTTGCCTAACTCCATGAAAGAACAAAATTTGGCCAGGCATGTTTGTCTTGAAAGGGCAGACACAAAGATATGGTTTGGGGGCTGATTGGGTGGGGGGCCCAGAAATGGTGGGGGAAGAAGTTCTGAAAGGACAAGAGTATTGTTGGTATATACTTTTCAATGAGCAAATTCTTCTTGATATATTCGTAGGGTCCTCCTGGGCAAAAGGGAGATCCAGGAGCAACAGAAATCATAGACTACAATGGCAATATTCATGAGGCCTTGCAGGTAAGTGAACATTTCCTTCTACAAAAAGAGAAACATATTTTGGTTCAAACTCTTTTAGTTTCTTGCCTTTCATAAATATTTATTTCTATAGTCAGTCTCAGAGGGAAAGAATCCTTTCCCATTTCCTAAAGCAAATCACTTGATTCCATCCCTCAGACCTTGCCCCCATGATTATCATTCACTTCCTCATCACAGCCCTCTTCCCTTTCACCTTTAAATATGCTTGGATCTCTTTACTTTTAACTGCTGCCTCTTTCAGCTACTGCGCAATCTTTGCCCATTCTTCTCCTGCCAAAAGCTTTGAAAATAATGGGTTTTCACTGCATTCCTTGCACAAGAACCCACTCTCTGTCTTTCATCACTACCAAAGCATTGAAATGGTTCCATCACTGTCTACCAATGACCCCTTTCTCACCAGAGCCATGAACTTTTCTCACTACCTACCTTCCCTGACCTTTCGATGGCATTTCATAGTGAACAAGCACTCTTTGATACCTTTCTTTCTTTTCTTTCTTCTTTGGCTTCTTTCTTTCTTCCTTGGCTTCTATGACACTATACTTTCCTGATTCTCCTCCTACCTCTCAAACTAATGCTTCATCTGCTTTGCCATGTGCTCTACTTCTTTCTACCCACTAAATCATCTGTTTTTGAATTCTCTATTCTTCCTTCTCTCTCTAGGTAGATTAGATAGATGTATAAATAGAGGTAGATAAAGATACATGTATATGCATGTGTGTGCAGATCTAAGTATATACACATATATTCTTTCCCCATATTATTACCCTATTATTCTTCCTATAATATGTGGTTATATTTCATATGCATATATGTGTATGTATATATTTTACATAAGCATATGTATATTTGTTTATATATTCACCCACACACCTTACCTGTGATTTTATCAGTAAAGGGAGTTTCCTGTAAGAAAATTCTTTTATCAGTATAGATTGGCACCTCCTCTTGGTCTTAAAAATTAAACGATTTTCCCAGGGACGTGCCATCAGAGGCAGAACTTGAACTTCAGTCTTGATAACTCTAAGGCAAACCTTCTAGAATGACCTTTTGCTGCCTCTCTTACATTTAGATGAAAGAGAGAGAGAGAGAGAGAGAGAGAGAGAGAGAGAGAGAGAGAGAAAAGAAGGGAGGGGAGAAGAGGGAAAATATATGCAACAGGGACTGGACATTTGATTTCATTTGTACAGGGAGCTCCCGGGTAAGAAAAATTCCTCTACTAATGCAGATCAACATCTTCTCTGAAACTTAGTCTCAGAGAGTTACCTAGAGCATTGAGAGGTTAAGTGACTTTATCTAGAGTCAGAGAGCCAGTGTGTGTCAGAGGCAGGACTTGAACTCAGGTCTTCCAAACTCTGATGCTGGATCTTTTTCCACTTTGTCACAGTGCCTCATAAAGAGAATATATATATGAAATTAGATGATGCACACACATATATACACACATGCACACATGCATACATATATGATGGGACAATATTGTAAAAAGAGACACAAACCTCAATGAGCTTATCCATTTTCATGTCTTCAGTTCTCCCTTTTACAAATCTATATCTTGACACTTGCTTCTGCTCCAATCACATTTTTCCAACTGCCCACAGATTTTCTTCCACTCAACTGTCCTGCTCCCATCTTAAATGCAAAGCACATGACACTGAACTCATTGCCACCACTCTCCCCTCATTAAAAACCCAGGTCTCCTTTTCTACCTCATTGCTGTTAGTAGTACTACTGTATTATTCTTTTAGTCTCCTGAGATAAAAACCTTGGACTCATCTTTGCTTCTTCCTTATCCTACATCTCTCATTTCTAATTCATCACCAAATTCTTTCATTTCTTTCTTCAAAGAGTTTCTTGAAGTCCCTCCTCATTCTCCCAGTTCAAATTCTGATCATTCCAGGTCTATTGCTTGAGAAAATTAGCTGATCTTCTTGCTTTCAGTCTCTCCTCCTCCATTTCATTCTGCCCAACTAATCTTCCTAAAATGGGACTTTCAAAATGTAACTTCCCTGCTCAAGAACCCACAGTGTCTTACTGTTACCTACTGCATTGTGCACAATCTTTCCTATCTGTTTTTAAGGTCTTCCATGATTTTCGCCAAATCCCTCCTGAAATCCTACCTAGTGCACTACATTTCTCCCCTCTTTCCAACATACACCCTACTTGCAAGTCAGATCACTGTCCACCCTGTCTCCCATTAAAGCTGTGTCAATTCCCACCACCTGTGTATTTGCTTCTGCTCTTCCTTCACCTTCCGTTTCATTTGTATGAATCCTATTCAGCCTTCAAAGTCGAGTTAAAGTCCACTCTCTTCCTTGAGGTCTTACTTACTCTAGCCCACATTGACTTCCATTCCTCCTTTGCCCTTAGAGTCACCATATGATTTAACACTTAAGTGTTCACTAGCTGTTGAATGTAAATCAGTTGGGTCATCTGAAGTAAATTGTGTCCTTCTTCTCCACAGAATAGTCCTAGGTATATGTGAGGGTTTCAAAATTCTTATGATTTGAATGAATCACCAAATGCACAATAACTCTAGCAACAGCCTTCTCTGCTTGAAACTTGACTCAATTTTGTCTTGCCCTGTTAATTCATTACTTTCTACATTAGCAAATTTGTGAGCACATGACTTTACTAATATTACCTAGCAAGGTAAGAAAAAGACCTAAAAGAGTTTTACTGCTCTTGTAACTGATTTTAACTGGTAAAACATAAGTAGGCCTTGCAAAGACATCTGTTCCTTAGTTCAGGAACACCTCGTTTTCTTTAACTTTAAAAAAAACATTTTCTCTTGGTTCTATATCTGAAAAACACAAAGGGAAAGTGTTAAGATTTGGGAAAGTGTTGCTTTAGTATGTTAGCATGTAGTATATACAATCAACAATTTGATTTAGGATCCCAAAGAGCAAGGAGATTAAATATAAGCGTCAGCCCTGTTGTTACCAAGCTCCAGTTTTCTGATTTTATTTCCCTCTACGTACATGTATATGTGTATCTACAGTGTGTTTGCTGTGTAAAATAACTGTATTATTTATTAATTATTGATTGAGAATTGTATCTAATTATAAGGTTTGGTCACTGATCAGATATGTGGAATGACAGAAAGAAGGTAAGGGCATTGAGGTTATGAACCTCAGTGACTAAAGGATGGTGGTGACCTTGACAGTAATAGGGAAATTCAGAAGAAGGGAGACATGATGAGTTTGAGATGCCAATGGAACACTGAGTTCAAAATGTCCAATAGGTCTTTAGTTGGTGATGTGGGACAGGAGATCAGGAGAGAGACTAGGACTGAATAATAAATAGATCTGCATAGAGATTATAATTGAACCCACAAAAGCTGATGAGATCATGAAGTCAAAGAGTACAGAGAGAAAAAAAGAGGGCCCAGGACAGAGTCTTAGGGGACACCGAAAGTTAGTGTGCAAAACCTGGATGAAAATATAGCAAAAGAGACTGAGGAGTGGTCAGATAGGTAGAAGGAAAAACAAGAGAGCAGAGTCATGAAAGCCCACAGAGGGAAAGTGATTAAATAGTGTCAAATGTTTCAGAGAGGTCAAATGTTGAGGCAGCTAGGAGATACACTGCATAGAGTTCTGGATCTGGAGTCAGAAAGACCTGAGTTCAAATCCAGCCTTACACACTTACTATCTCTGTCACCCCAGGTAAGTCCCTTAACCTCTATCTGCTTCAGTTTCCTCAACTGTCAAATGAGGATAATAACAGCACCTATCTCCTAGGGTTGTTGTGAGGATTAAATTAGTACTTGGCATATAGTAAGCACTATATGAATATTAGCTATCATTGTTTCTTTCAGCCTTTAGCACAGTGA